AGCCAGCTTAGTAGCTCCTGGTCTAATGGTTAGGGGACGATCCCAAGGTCCCTTCCCCCAATGCAGCCTGGTTCTCCCCGCCCAAGCCATTGTCACCTCTTACCAGTCATTTGTCCCAGGAAGAAATTCTCCCAGGATTTCTGGCCACCTTGTTAGTTGACTGGAGGGCAGAGAGACTGGATTGAGATGCAACCTCACAGGACCTCAACAGACACCTTGCAAGAGTTATCACCATTAGAAGTGAGGAGAACCCCAGTTCTCAGAGGGGAGAGGATCAGACGCTGGTCCTGGAAGCAAACCTTATTTTATCCTTCCAGGATGACAGGTTTCATGATCGTCGTGAGTGTGAGTCACACTAAGTTGGTACATTTCAGTTTCTGAGCCACAGTTGCCTAGGTCTTTTGCTGTGCATAGTCATTGAGAACAGCTGAGTACCTTGCCCAGTAGATCATATGCTTTATAGGAACAGATACTGAACCCCTGGAGAAGAAAGAACACACACACACACACACACACACACACACGCATGCACACACATGTCTATGCGTTAGTAAAAATTTATTTATATTCAATAACTTTCTACTCTGATGTTGACAAGTTGAGGCAAGTGAGGGGCACCACAAATCTCAGTGAGAAATGGCACAGATGCAGCAGCCAATGTTCTTAGTTCAAATCCTGACTCTTTCCTTGACCTGGTGACTTGGGATGAATGATACTGTGGTTTGGATGTCTCCCCAAAAGTTTGAGTCCTGGAAGTCTGGTGCCCACTGAAGTAATTTTGAGAGGGCACAGCTGTAAGAGGCAGGGTCTACTGGGAGGTAACTAGGTTCCTAGGGTCAAAAAAAAAAAAAAAGAAAAGAAAAGAAAAAAAAAAGAAAACCCTCTTAATGGATGAATGCTCAAGCAAATGGGTTGTCAAAAAGTAAGGTCACCCTCTGCACATGGATTTTCTGCACTACGTATTTCCTTTTCCATGTGTCCCCTGTATTTTGACATAGATGGGAGCCTTCACCAGAAACCAAACGTATGTGGGCACTCAATTCTGCACTTTCAGCCTCCAAAACAAAGTTAACGAAACTCATTTTCTTTATACATTGCCCAGTCTCAGGTAGAATGGGCTAATACAATGGTTCATACAACTTTGGACTCAATGTTTTCATCCAATTAAGGAGACCTACTACCACGCCCACTTCACAGTGGTTTGCCTAACATGAGGGTGGCTTTGACATGTGTGCATTCTCTTGCCATGTTGTCTGCTACTGGCAGGATTATTTTCCTCTTTCATTATGACTTTGGACCCCTCTGCTTTGACCCGTGTGTCAGCTACTAGAGTTCTGGCATGTCTTCCCTTTTCATTGTGCTATCCCCATTTGCCTGAGGTCAGGCATCCCTGCGCTAGGTCACCCTCACTGTGGCTCCGATGAGACGAAAGCAAGAAGTGTGTGTGTGTGTGTGCGTGTGTGTGTGTCGGGGGGGGGGGGGAACGGCTGTGGGGATGTGGGAGATGGAGTGAGCCTGACTCTGCGAACACATATAATCAATAGGGGAAATCGATGTGTTCATAGAAATTACAGGCCCTGCTGGGTGAGCTGTTTTCCATGGTGACAAGAAATGCATCTCTTCCACTCCTCCTTTCTTAGGGCAGGATAGACTACAGCATCACGTTTACAACAGAATGGCCCAGGAATGCAAGGCCAGGTCTCTCTCGCTGTGCCCAGCCTCCCCTGAAAGGAATTTTTGTGGTCTAAAATCTCCAACATAAACCTGAGAGCTTCTTTGTTTTTCAGATGTGAAGGAAATAAAAACCACTAAGACTTGTGCCTTTGCTCACTCAGTTGGCATTGGCTGTTTCCCTGCTATGTGCAGAACTTTGAGCTTGCAATTCTGATTAAGTCGACATTTCTAGTGTACCTACTATGTGGGAGGGGCTTTGGAAAGCACTACAGACTCAGTAGTAAGTAGAATGGATTTGAAAGAGACCATGACTTCATTCTGCAAAGCGTGTTCAGTGAAAGATGGATGGGAAGCAGTTCTGAGGTCCTCGAGGTCATAGGAGCTCAGGGAAGCTGTGTCTGAGGACCAGGGCTGATGCTGTGGCCTGAGGGGAAGGTCAGGCTGTTAGTAGAAGGGTGGGCAGAGAGGAGAGCATGCGGGCTGTAGGAAGTCCACAGGAGAGGTTCTGCAGGGTATAGGGCGGATGATCATAGCAGAAGGCAGGGATGGGGGAGGCGGGGGCAGCAGGAGGCTTAGGACCTCAAGCTGAGGTGCCAGGTGTGCATCCTGAAGGAACAGCAAGCTCTGTAACTATGGAAAAGCAGGTCCCATTTCATGGAGAGAGTCCTCTGAAGTGCCTGTGTAGAGTGATTTTTTTGTGGTGATCAAAAGATGGAGGCCCTGGACAAGTGTGCCATACAGGTGAGAGGTGCTGGGAGGCAGCTGTATGTGTGTGTGTGTGTGTGTGTGTGTGTGTGTGTGTGTATGAGTGTGTGTGAGTGTGAGTGTGTGTGAGTGAGAGAGTGTGAGTGTGAATGTGTGTGAGTGTGTGTGAATGTATGTGTGAGAGTGTGTGAGTGTGTGTGTGCATGTGTGTGTGTGTGGTGACTGGTCAGAATTCATGAGTCCTAGACAATGAGGTCATTCAAGGTGTGGGCAGAGAAGGTCAAAGTTGATGCTGAGGAAGGGCAGGGGTGGGTTGGGGACACAGGCTGGGGAGGGCTTGACCAGAGTTGAGACTCAAGCGTCCCACTCTCATTTTGAATGCTGAGCAGCAGAGGCAATGAAGTGGAGATGCCTCGTCAGAGAGACATACGATGTCGTTAAAAGGGATCCAGGCTGCCAGCAAAGCGGTGCCCCCTTCCATCAGGTGGAGCCCTTCCTGGCCAGCAGAGCATCTTGGGGGGTGCTACCCCTAGACTTTGCAGGCGCGGCCATCACTCTGAGACCTCCACAGTTCTCCTCGGCAGAAAGTGGCGATAGTTCTGTCTGCTTCAGTCTGGCCAGGAGCGCATGTTTGAGGATTCACTAAACTGAAAATAAAACACGTGGGCTCCTTGGAAGTGAGGACTATGTTAAAACAAGGAGTTATTATACTTGTGTGTGCGCCAGTGAAGAGCAGAAATACAGCCCCAAGGCACAGTATTGATTTGGTCCTGGGTGCTTCTCACAGCCGAATGAATCTGACATTCTTCCCCACGAGTGCCAGCTGAGTGGTTGGCAGGAGTCCAGCTGCCAGCCTCCTCACCTACTACAAGGTTAAGTCCATTCTTGGCTCAGGCCAGCTCTGACACCCTGTCTCCCGCCTGTGCGGTACTGGCTGCCCTTCCTATACACCGTGGTTACAGGGACAATTCCAGTTGTGAGGCTGGCACCTGGCCAAGAGCAGATGTCCTCTAATTAAACCAGGGACAGGTCTTCCCAGAAAAGTCACAGATTTGTGCCACAGAACCAAAGGTTGGGGATGGGAGGTTAAAACTTTGAGATACATTAGGGCTATGGAATTTGCTTGCTCCATCCATCCAATCACCAGATTTATTGAGCGTCCAATGAATGTTAAGTTCTGAGATAAGCCTGGGGGTGTAGGTGTGAAGCAGTGGGTCCCGTGGGCACCGTGGGATGCTGAGCATGGAGCTGGGTAGAGAGCGGCAAGCCTTCAAATCACTGTGGCCTGGGATTGACTTGCAGGCTCTCAGATGAGACCACAGGCCATACAGACGTCTAGGGTAAGGGTGCTGTGGTGATAGAACTGAGTCCAGGACGCTCCTGTCGGGTGCAGGAATGGCACTGAGGACCAGAAATCCAGGAGCACATAGCAGCAGCCCAGGGTTGCGCAGGAAAGGCTGTGGACGTGACAGATCACTTCAGGTAGTTCCCTCTAAAGGCAGATTAAGATGAACTGATAAAAGAGCTGGATGTGAGGAGGCTTTAATGACATCTGGGGGTGACTCTTCAGGACGGGGCTGCTGAAAAGCAGGCCAGAGTTGATGCTTGCACATCCCTCTCCAGGTAAAGTTCATTTGCCTTGCCATCCCAAGCCCACCTCTCTCAGGCTATACCAGACACTCACTATACCCCTGTGGTGAAGGGCTTCCCCGACGTCTCTCCTGTTACGGCTTTTCAGAGCGCACAGTTGCTGCAATTGAGCCTGTGCTCAAAACAAACCACAGTTCAACTATGTCATCCATAACCAGACTATTACAGCACAGTTCACAACTGGCCGCATCGTTGTGGTGACACATTGGAAAGTGTGGCTCAGACTTCATCTGCTACTAAGTGCTTGAGTGTCTCGAATGGTACCCTGGGCACCAAGGAGCAGTCAAGAGTGAGACAGCCAGTGCCGATATGCAGGTCTAGCAACAAGGAGGACAAACTTGGAATATATATGACTATAGATAAATAGTCCCGGGCACTGACTGCAGCTGTACAGAGAAGAAGGCAGGGGAGGTACCGGTTTTCAGGCAGGGCAATGTGTTAAGTCCCTTCATGCCCTATTTAATCAAACTTGGCTGAGTATTTGGGAAGGGGTATGAGGGCTAGGACAAGGCCAGCCTCCTGCTTCTGACTTCTACCCTGTCCCTGAAGCTGGAGAAGGGTTATGCAGGACTCCCACGGGTGGTCGTGGGTGAGGACCAGACTTCAGAGATGCTAGGTGTATGGCTTGGACGAGGGAGTGGAGAAATTCACTCAATTCCGTGCACAAGAAGCACCCGGGACTCGTTTAAAGTGTAGACTCTTGGAGACCCTGTTTAGCGATGCTGATTCAGAAAGTTGCGGGGGGTAGCTCTCTCCCCTCTCCACAAAAGTGATTCTGAGCCAGGTGTCCCGACCAACTACCCTCAACCCTGGTGACTTCTTGGCCTTATAACCTCCTTCCCCTCAGCCTGAAATCTGTATTAGTCCTGCAGAGAGCCTGGGAATGAATCATGCTCCGGGATGGGTCCGCGCAGCGTCGCGCAGCCGCCAGGGGGCGCCAGAGGCCTCGGCTACGAGCTCGGGCTTCTCCGCCCGTGGACGCCGCGCCCGAGCCGAGCCAGAGCGCTGCGGGCTCACAAAGCGGCCGGACGCGCGGAGGCGGCAGGTGCGTAGGGGAACGAGCCGGGCAGCAGCCTTCCCAGTCACCGCGGCACAGTAGCGCCAGCAACTCGGTCGCCGGGACTCGAGCGGGCCCCCAAGGTACGTGTCCGCAGAACCCTGAGCCCCAACTTGGCGTATTGGCGTAGTTGGGACCTTCATGAGGCCATCACCGGGGCCGGCAGGGTCAGGGCCTGGGGGCATCTCTGCGCGACCCTGTTGCACGGAAGCAGCGGGCCGGGCTCAGGGAGACCTTTGCCTTAGGAGGGCTTGAGGGCACCCTCAAAGCCCCCATCTACCAAAACGTGGGATAATGCTCAGAGCCCCGTTATCCCTATCCCTGCCCCACAGCTGTGGGCCCCGTCTGTGAGAGTGCGGCTGGCACATTGAGCCTCCGGGTTTTGGGGAGGGGGTACTAACGCAGGTGAGAGGGTCCTCGGTAGTTTGACAGAGCCCCGAATCCGTGACTTGGCCTCTGCGTTTGTCTCCATTCACGAGGGCTCTCCAAGTCCAGCCTCCGTCCCAGGTGTGCGAGGGACCACCCTGATCCTAGGCGTTGCAGTTGGTGCGCTCCCCAGGCGCCCGGACTCCCCTGGTGGGAGCGAGGGGCTCGAGGTCGTCCTGTTGTCGCCGACTCACGCCCGTGTTCCCTGCCCCCAGATGCCAGCGATCGCGGTACTCGCCGCGGCCGCCGCGGCGTGGTGCTTCTTCCTCCAAGTGGACAGCCGGCACCTGGACGCTCTCGCAGGCGGCGCGGCCCTCAACAACGCCAATTTCCTGGACAATGACCAGTGGCTGAGCACCGTCTCCCAGTATGACCGTGATAAGTACTGGAACCGTTTCCGAGACGTGAGTACGGGGGCCACCCGCTCCGGGAGTGGAAAATAGGGGTAGCTCAGAGGCCGGTGAGGGGGTGGGGGTGGTAGATTCAAACCTCCCACGGAGGTCCATAGTCCATAGGTCTAGCTTGGGAGGAACTTTAAAGAGAACTTGGAAGGCTGGATGCTCTTGCGTGCTACCTGTGGTCCCGGTGTGTACACTTGTAGGACTGATGCAGCTGTCTGCAAGGGAACAGGGCGCGAGCCTTAAGCAGCGTGGGGAGAGGGGCTCCCGATGTGTCTGAGAGCTCCCGGTGGCAGACTGACTTTACCGAGCTGCAGAGAGAAGAGCCCAGGAGCGGCCTTGATTTGGACGCCTTTCCAGTGCGCCAGAAAATAATCCCCACTGGATGAGTGTAGCTCATTTATTAGGGAGCCAGATGTGGCAGGCACGAGGGGGAGGTTGGGGGGGGGGTTCTCATAGCAATGAGCTTGAGATGTTAGAGAACAGTGCAGTGGATTGGAGTCTTATGGACTTTAGTGGAGGGGAAAAAGAAGCAGGCAGCCCAGGGAATCTGTCCCTTTTCAGATGAGAGTGCTGGGGTATGGAGGAGAAACTCTTGGGCATGGGGGGCACTTCTGTTGTTTGCTTCCACCCCAGTCCTGGCTCCCACGGACCTCTGTGCCCCTAGAAGATGGGGCAAGAAGTGCCTGGTACAGTCATTCCAGCAGACAGCTCCCCCCAGCAGAACCAGTTCACAGCTTCTTCAGAAACTGGGTGGCAGGGGTCAAGCTCTTCTAGGGGACATTAGGAATCCCTGTCCTCAAGATACTTTGAATATTGCAAGAATGTCCAAGACTTATAATGAGTAAAGCTTTTATCTTCAAATGCTTTGCTGATATACATATACATACATACACACATACATATATATATACATATATGTGTGTGTGTGTGTGTGTTTAGGTGTTAAGACATTTTTAAAAAGCAGCATATGCATTTTAAAGGGGTAGCCTGACCCATACCACCAAACCCCGTGTACTCATCGCAGGGCATGGCTTAAATACAGAGGTGGAGAGAGTTGGCTGCACACTTCTCTCCGCTGGGTTTCTCAGAGCCCATTCACAGTATCTCCAGCCTTGCAGGGAGCAGGTCTCTGAGGACCTGAATGGCTCCTGTTTGCCCGTGCTTCCTAAATGGCAGCCTCTCCAGGGTTCCCTCCCAGAGAGGCAGATGCAACTTTAGCCTTGAGTGGGGGACTTGCTTATATGCTTTCTCAGCCCCCTCTCCTCTCTGGAGTGGATGGTGGGCAGCTTCTGGGAAGAGTTTTTCAAACATACACTGAGCATCCTTGGTTATTTGGGGCTGTTTGCAGCAGATCTGCCTCCTGCCGAACCCCACCAGGCAGCTTACGGCTGCCTCTCACTAAGTTCTCTTAGCCATCTCTGGCCCCTTTCTGGTTTTGATGACCAGATGGCCACACTTTTCTTCCTACCCGGGTCGGAGTGCAGCATGGGGGAAGTACAGACGTAGTTTTGTTTTTGCTATTATTACGTTTTGGCTAGAGTTGAGGAGCCAGGCACATGATGGACTCTCAGAGACCTGGGCAAATTGGACGTGGTTTAGAGGACTGGCCACCTTTACTCCCTTGGAGCAGGGAGTGGCTGCGGTGGAGACACTTACGCCTGCTGGGTCTTGGGGTTGTGTGCGGGTCTGTATCCTCAGTTAGTCGTGAATACTAAAGACCTGATTCCAATTTAGCTTCGCATTTTAGGAAAATGAATGGCTTCCTTCCTTCCTTCCTTCCTTCCTTCTTTTTCTTTTTTTTTTTTTTTTGGATAATCTTGACTTTTAGAAAGTAGGTCAAATTCTCCCCGTCCTCTAACCATGACGGATGGTGAAACCCAGGTTACTTGCTGAACTACAGCATCCAGGCTTTTTGTTTTGTTTTTACTAATTAAATTATTTATTTATTTTACACCCTGCCACATTTTTTTTTTACCCTCACTCCTTTCCTCCCATTCTCTCTCCCCTCTGTCCCCTATCTTCTCCTCTGTTTCTGTTCAGAAAGGGGCAGGATCACTGATATCCACAAAGCACGGCACATCCAGTTGCTGAAGGACTAAGCTCCTCCCTTTGTATTAACGTTGGACAAGGCAACCCAGTGTGAGGAATAGGTTCCCAAAAGCCAGCTTAAGTGCCCCTGCTCCTACTGTTAGGAGTCCCACAAGTAGACCAAGCTATACATATATACTGTTGATATGTATGTAGAGGGACTAGGTAGGCTCTATGCAGGCTCCCTGGTTGTTGGTCCAGACTCTGTGATCCCCTATGAACCAAGGTTAGTTGATTCCATGGTTTTTCTCATGATGTCCTTGACCCCCTGGCTCCTGCAATCCTCCTTCCCTCTGTTCAGCAGGTTTCCCCAAGCTCTGCCTAATGTTTGACTGTGGGTTTGCATCTGTCTCCATCGGTTACTGGATGAAGCCTCTCTGATGACAGTTGGGCTAGGCACCTTTCTGAGGACAGAAAGGGTGGTTCATCCCTTAAACAGATGGACTAGACAGTCCTCAGAGTGACTAGGGACACTGCCTTGATGGTTGTTTGGAAGAAAGGTCCGAGGCTTAAGCGTGGAAGAAGAAGGCCCCTGGAGCAGAGTTTGGTGCTAAGCTAGTGCATTTAGCAGTGTGCCATTTGTAGGAATGACAATTTGGTTCAGCAAGTCGTTAAAAACATCCAAAGATGTTAAAATATTGGCCAACATCATCAGTCATTAAGAATTTTCTAGGCTTCATTTGGAGTCATCTGACTCCCACAGTGACTCAGGTATAATTGAATGCCATTAACCTCTTTAAGTGGCATGAACTCGATGTCCTTTGGGGGCAAGTCTAAGTATCTTTAGTTGGGTCATTTACGTGGAAAAGCCTGGACCCTCAGACACTAGGGAGGAAAGAGGTCGCTTTCTCTAGAAACAGGCCACTCTGGAGATAATATAGAAGGCCTAGCTAGAATGGCAATGGCTTGGCCAGCCTATTCACATTCAGTGAACCAGGCCTTGCTCCAGGCTGACAAAACCTTAGCTTCTTGGCTGTTATTTTGGGCCCTTTTTTGTTTTATTTTGTTTTGTTTTTTTTGAGACAGGGCTTCTCTGTGTAACAGTCATGGCTGTCCCTGCAACTCATTTTGTAGACTAGGCTGGTCTTGAACTGAGTGAGATCCAGTGTTGGGATTAAAGGTGTGTGCCTCCATGCCCAACTGCGGCTTTTTGATTTGAGGTCGCTGATCACTTTAAAAGAATATGGTAATATGAATGCATGTCAGGTATTTAGAAGTGACCTTTGATCTTGGGACGCTAAAAGCAAAGGGTTACCTGACTTTGTTTTTGTCTTACTTTGGTTTTGAGACAGTTTCCTGTATTCCAGTGTGGTCTTGAACTCATTCTGTAGCCAAGCTTGACCTTGAACTCCTGAACTCTGCCTCCTCAGTGGTGGGATTGCAGGTGTGCAGCACGTGGCTCAAAGTGCCCCTTTCAGAGAGGTGGCTGTGTGTACGGGTAGTCACGTCTGGACCCTTGGAAGTGGACACAATGGTAGGATGCGTTCCTGGATGTTTGGAGTGTTGGATGTGCTGTGACATTGCTGAAGATGACCTGGCAGCCCCTGATTTGCCACTTTGAAAAGCATCTTGTCACTCAGCACATGAGCCATTAAAACTACCTCATAAGTTGTTGTTTAGAGTTAGGGATCCAGTCAGGACACAAAAGCTTTCCAATGGCTGTTCCTCCATGTACTTGTGGTTTCTGGAACTAGCTCTTGTAGACCAGGCTGACCTCGAACTCACAGAGATCTGCCTGCCTCTGCCTCCCAAGTGCTGGGATTAAAGGTGTGCTCCACCACTGCTTTCTTTATAAAGTCTAGAAATTGGGATGTCTTGGCTAGGAGGAAGCCTGGACTTTTGAACAAAGACAGCATCAAGAAGGAAGCTGTGAGCAAGGCCTCTGTACATGTGAGCTCACAGTGGTTGTGACGACATGTCCAAAACCTGAGCATGCCCAAACCAGACCAGACCCCAGCATGCAGAGAGTAACCGGGCACACAATCCCACTCCAAGCCTCAGATTTATAGGCAATTGTTAGCTGCTGGGAGGAGAGACCGTTAGTGTAGTCCCTGGGAAGTCAACCCTCTCTGGCTGGAGATGGCCTAGTCAAGGATATTTCAGCAGCACAAATTTGTCCTGAAGGAATAAAAGCAAACATAGTGGGCTTGGTGGATAGGGAATGGGGCAAGTCTGATAAGCAACACCAACAGAAGGAGGAAGTGCAGAAGGCAAGCTGCCCTGGTCCTGCTTCCCCACGGCTTGAGTTTGAGACATCAGAATGGCCACAAATCTGATTTGGCTTTGTCCAAGTTCCCTCTATTCAATCCTACATTTCATTCATCCTTGTAAATGTTTGACTGCTTCGTGAGCATGAGGCTCTGACCTATAAATGTGCGCAGCTTTAATGTAATTCTTTCCTACAACCTCTGGCGTGCCGCTAGCTTGGGCTCTTCACGATTCTTTCTTATTCTACATTCTTTAAAAACTAGTAAGTTTTTTTTTCTCATGGAGATAATACCCACTTGCTGTAAGGAAAAAATTTAGCGTTGCATAAATAGATAATAGCAAACACTTGTGGAGCATTCAGCGTGTCGGGCATTGTTCAAGGCACTCCCTGTTCATTATTTAATATAGCAATCCAACGAAAAAAGTACTGCTATCCTTGCCTGTTTATTGAGAGCTGAGCTGCTTCGCCAGGCTTCCAGAGACACCAGGGTGTGGAGGGACCTGCGTCTCGCAACCAAGAGGGCTGAGTGGCTCTTAGGTGTGTACCCTGTCTGTAGCTCCATCCATATCATGTCTGAGGGCACTCAACCAGGAACTTGAGCAGTGGGAAGCCAGGTAGACACAGCTTATTGTCGGGGTCGTGTCAGGCTTTATCTTCTAATAATGAGCCTCTGATTTGATTAAAATAATATTGTTGCTTACACTAA